CAAGCCTCCCGTGATGGCGCAGGTCCCGATGTGGTGCGCGTGCACATCCTCTTCAGCGGCAAGTCCACTTGCGCCTGGAAGGCCCCCCCGCTCAATCCCCGCGCCGAACCTCTGGGGGCCCGCGAGAGCCCGCGGGGCCTCGGCAACCCATGCCGCGCAAACCAAGCCCCCAGTCCCTCTGATCAACCAGTTCCCCCTCGCAACCTCCTCCATCTCCTTGGAATTCATCTGGGTCTTGCCCCGCGGTTCCGCGGCAGCCCCGAGAAGTCGATCCGACAAGTTCGGGGCATGCGCCCTCGGAAGAATGAACGTGCCAGCCGCGACCTTGCCTTCGAGATTCCTACTGGACTAGAGGAGGCGTCGCTTGTGCGCCCTTCTTGCGCATCCAATTGAATTCACGCAATCTGATGCGATTGCTGGCTCCTGGCCGGCTCCGCGCAGCTGAGAAAATGCAGCGACCGCCGCTGGCTGAGACCAGCGCGAAGAAAAATACTGGCATGAACTTTGATGGGCCTCGGAACAGCGCTTTACTGCCGTCGACACTCACGCGCGCAGCGGGGGCTTCAACTGTTCCCCCGGCCAGTCCGGGCCCCCTCATAGCCACCGGAGGTCCAGGCAACCTGAAGGCAGCCTTCTCGATGACATGTTCATGCTTTCCTCCTTTCCTATTCAGAACTTGTGGTCTAGGACGACGCGCCCTTTCCTCCCCCGCCTTCTCCTTATCAGCATGGCTACAAACGCTTCCCCAAACCGCGCGACATTGCGCCTGCTGCTTCAGGCGCTTCACGACGCGCCTTCTGGCGGCAAACTCACCTATGCACGCCTAGCAGAGCGCGCCGATGATCCAGTCGTCGGGGTCGAGGGCGGTCTTGCGAAACTTTCCCATTTGAGCCTTCGGACCGACGGGGCGGAGTAACTGCGCTCGTAGCAAGCGCCGGCAATTGCATGGCCCGGCGCCGCCCCCCCCCCCCCCCCTCCGCAACCCCCCGCCCCGTTCGCGGCCTGAATTCCCAGCTCCTTGCGCGCGTGCAAAAACCTTGTGGCGAGTTGGTCTTGAGGCTGCTTGAACAACTTTCTCCTGGCCCCCATCGGAAATCCTGGGTTCAAACCTCGCTAGTGCAAGCCGGCGGTTATCCTCGCCAGAGCAAGGCGCGTCTTTCCTGCTAGTGACCTGGTTCAGCCACGTCGAATCAGCCCCGATCCCCTGCGCCCAGCTGTACTCGACATCCCAGAGATGATCGAAGGCGACTCTCAGCCCCGAGGGAACCCTGGGCAAAAGTCGAATGATATAGATACCTGAGTCTGGCCACTGTAAGAACGGCACGGCGCCGCAATCGACCCACCCGAAGAAGCGCATAATTGTGGGACTCATGTGTCTCTTCGTTATCAGACAGCAGCATGCCCGAGGCAGCTCTATATCCTGCGGCCTAAACAGCGGAGAGAGTCTCGTGGTTCTGTCGGTGAGATTCCTCCGCGCGCGCGCAATGATCCGCAGCTTGGACAAAACGTCCGCATGATTGGCCTGGACAGCCACCGGGTGTCCTCTCCGCGCCCCCAGGGCGACTTGCATGGGTCGAAGCTCCTTTCGCACGCTACCGATCCTGTTCGAGATCTCGACTCCAGGCGACAAGTCTTGGGCGAGCATAGTCCTAAAGCCTTTAAACTTCTTGGCTGGCCACTTCCACCTGGAGCTCGCGTTTGCCGGGGGTCGCCTTGACGGCGCCTTCCTGCTTAACAAACTGCACTTGAACACTCTTAGAATATCTCCCCAGAAGCACCAGGAAAAGAGAGGCCTTGCTGGCGTTGAGCCTCAGCCCGAACCTGGAAACAGCCTCGTAAACAATGTCAAGCGGCCCGTCTGGGGTCCTTGATGACAGCAACCGGCGTGATCTCATCCACAAAAAACCGAGGCATTGCAATGCTGCCAGTCCTCTGGCTTCGTAAAATAGCAAGGCTTCTGACCGGGTCGCCGTGCCAGCTCGTGAGTTTTTGCATGCGTCGCCAGATCTCTATGGTGATTAGCACACAGGCAATGTTGAACGCATCCGTTGCGAAGGTCGTGCCAGGCCTGGTTCCGAGCACGGGTCTCACGTATGAGGATGCGTTCTTAACTTTCCACCTCCCGCCTGCGTGTCCCTCACCAGTTCTCTGGGTTGAGCGTACTCAGTGCAATTGTCGAGCGAGGGCGTGCCTTGTTGCACAGCGCTCGTGGCTGAAAACAACCTCGGGCATGCCACGATCTCTCACGGCTTCAAGCATGTCGAACTCTTCTCCTGGGAGCTTTAAAATGAACTGCTTCGCTACATTGTAAAACAGCCGCAAAGCCGCCGCGAGATCAATAAAAAAGGGCCGCTGGGCTGAAACCTTGACTTGTTTGAGCCCTAAGCCTTCATTCTAACGAAATGTGTTGCAACATCCGTGTTACTCCATTTTGCCCTCCCCCTCCCCGCATGGGGTGTCGTTCAGACAGCGGCCAAATAACTTCCAAACCCGTCTTCGG